TTTCGGCCCGATCGGGTTTGCACCAACCTGGGTTGGATTAATCTTTCCTATTGGTTGATGTCACACGCTCTACCAATAGGGGAACGCAAAACGCCATTAATCCAACCCAGGTTGGTGCAAACCCGGTCGGGCCGAAAACGCTATATGAATACCGGCCTTTGATCGCGTTTAGCAGACTCAACTGTTGTGGAGCGGATCCGTGAGCGCTCGCTGCTATTGGATGATCTAGAAGAATACACCAATAAGCGAGTGCTCACGGATCTGCTCCGCAATAGGAGCGTTTTTTCGTTATCCAACCAGAAGCTACCAACTAAGGCTATCTTCGTCTTCAGCGATCAGAAGACGAAGATAGCCTTAGCCGTGGTTGCTTCTGGTTGCACAACGAAAAAACGCTACAGTTAATAGCGTATTCGATTATTGACTCGACCCGACTTTAACCAGTATTCATAGTCAGATCTTATATTCAAGATCGTCTTAAGTACGGTCTTAAGAAGTCATGAACCAATCAGAAGGCTGCATTAGCGTCTTAAGGGGATGCTAAACCGATTACCCAACTCAATCAAGGTCGATAGTACAGACTCTTTTAATTCCAAATTCGATAATAGTGGTGACATCTTTGATTTAGTTTTTACATTATATTATGTAATATATATCATTCTGTCTTACTCAAACGCATACGTCTGTTCTTATCTAACATATGCCAGCACCATCTATCGCAAGACCGCGCAACTACTGCTACGCGGAATTTCGGCTCTGTTGACAGTCCCAGTCTTCGCAAAGCATCAGTATACACGTATTTTCTATTCGGTGGAAATATTGCTTTTCTAGACTTTCAATCTTAGTTCTACAAACTCAGTATCGTTCGTTTCAATAATGTGACCTCAGCTGCACGCTTATTTTCAAGATATGGACTCTAAAACTCTTATATCAAGCAAATACATATCTGAGGTGACAGCTGTACGAGCCAAAAGTAAGTGAATTTTTAATTTTTTTTCGATTTTCTCATAAAATCCAGTGCAGCTGAGGTCCTGTTAATGCGTACTATAATTTAAGTAATAATACTTTTGTAATCCGTACATCCAATACAGAGATTTTTCACCGAATAGAAATGTGGTAAAACAGGGAGCTTTAGCATCGCCTTAAGATATTACTTGAGACGGTTTTGAAATAAGACTCGACTATGAATACCAGTCTTTAAATCAACAGTCTGTTCTTTTTAGCTGCATTTCTTATACAATTTAACTCTTCTTTTGCAGCTAAACAGAACAGATTATTGACTCGGAGTCGGGTCGAGTCAGTAAATCGAATACGCTATAAGTCTACTCCTACCTCCAGTCGAATGACTATTTCCATGGAAATGCTACCCCCTACTTGTGGGGGTAGCATTTCTATGGAAATAGTCATCATACTCAACCAAAGACATAGAGAATAGACTGCGCGATCCGTGTGTCAAAATGGTCGATAGGGATGAGAGAGAGGGACCGTGGCAGACG